TACAAGAATAAAGCCACCGTTGTTACTTTTTAATATTTCCGTAATAAAGTATCACGAAATATATTGTATTTGGAAGGGCGTATTTTTCACGAATAAACGGTTTTGAGTAAATTTACAAAGGTAAAGTAGTGAATGGCGAATTGAAAACAATGCAATAAAATTGAGCCTTTTATTAAGTAAATCGGGTTTCATAAGGTTATTCGAAATACTATTTTTTACTTGCTTTCGAAATATCGATAATTTTTATCGATATGTTTTGTTGCTATACATTTTGACGCAGAAATTAATTTTTAGCTCCGAAAGTTATAATGAAAATGTCTATTAACAAAGTTTCCGACATTTCATCAAATTTCAAAGAAAAGTGAATAATAGTATTTGAATAACTTGGTGAAATTCGATCCACTTAGCAAAAAATTTATGTATAAAATGACTGCGTATTAGCTTAAGAAATATTGACTAATCTCAATATATCGATGATTGTCAATTTACATATTGTGAATTTTTTTGCTAATATATTAAATATGCATCTATCAATAACAATTGCTCTTTTAATATATATATAATCAACCATCCATAAACATAGTGCATATACTCTCTTTAAATTCATGCTAGGTTGTAACTACTATAAATGCATATTTTTGCCTTTATTTCTAGGGGATGCATTATGTAATCTAAAAAAACAGTCGTTACAATTTTTTTTTTTAAATATATCACTGATAGCTAGTTTTATCTATCGAATATATATTTATTAAACAATTTATTTTTTTTCATTTTCGTTTATTTTTATTTTTATCATTTTTTGTGTAATAGAATTTCTAGAAATTACGCACGTACGTACGTACTTATTTTAGCAAATAAAAATCATTTGTATACATTTTTTATAAGGATTATGATCGTGTACGTACGTACCACATACAATTATAAATGTTTAAATATAATATAAATACAGTGCTACGACTGGTTAATTCATTAATTAATATAAAAAATGCACAGGCACGGAATTTACGGCACCTCTTCGTTATTATTCGAATAAACTAGCTCTTGCCTGAACAAAAAAAGTCGTTCAGCATATCAAGCTATGCAGGTATCGACTATCATTTATTAAAACACATAATTACAAAATGTCGGGTAAAGGAAAAAATTCGAACCCTCCTTCGGTCGATGTTTCACCAGTCTTCATTCCCGATCCCAATAATCCTGCAAATTCAAATTCGTCTGACAGTCAGCAACCTCAAAATGACTCTCAAAATTCACAACCAGTAGGCTCACAACCAACGAACACACAACCGGCGGACCCACAACCAGCGAACTCACAACCAGCAAACTTACAACCTCAAACCACACCACCACCCAACCCGCAACCATCCGGAGTACCTCAAGCGTCATCTGCCCAACAAGCAGCACAAACACCCCAAGCTTCAAGTTCAGTAATCGTTACAACTCAAGCAGTAACTCCTGCTTTCCTAGCTCCAACCAATCCCATCACTAATCACCTTATGAATAATCAAGCATTAGCCACTACTTCATCTAGTACTTCCCCTACCCCTGACAATTCCTACTATGGTTCTTCATCTGACGTAACAAATAGTCCTTCTGGTGCAGTGATAGGAATAGTTATAGCCGTTGTGGTTGTTATAGTTGTGGTAGTTTTAACAATAAAGAAATTAAGCAAATCTGCTAGAGATAGATACAAGGAAAATGCGAGTAGATTAGATGATGATGCTATCGAATTTAATATTGAAGATCACAGAGAACTCAATCATGGATGGGATGATTATAATAGTTACAATTCACAGGGAACAAGAAGATATTAGAATTCTCTATTTTCTATAATTAATATAATATATTTAATAGTATATAATAAGTAATAGGTCTCGAATATTAAGAACGAGAAAAATAATAATAATGAATCACTTTATTTATCTCGTTGTCGTTAAAAATTAGGGGAAACCATATTTTGTAATATTATCTAAAATACCTGTATTGTTAAACTCTTTTTTTCTAGGGATTTTATTATTGGTAATTATGTTGTTATTGATAATAATATATACTAATTTGATCTTCAAAAATATTTTTATTTCACTTTTTTTTAAATTTGTAATATGTAGTTATCATTCTAGCTAAAATAAAAAGTGAATTGCATTATAATATGATGAACTCCTTGTCATCACATACATTTTGTTTACTTTCACTCACGACGACAACGATAAATATTCTATTTTAGCATTACTTTTTTGACCGATATATGTCCGTTAGAATACGCGATGTAGTTCCATGAGATAAAAAAGCTTTAAGTTTTCGTAGTTTTGACAAATCGGTGTTTTTCCTTTCCTATTCGATGTCAGATTTTTGTAGTCGTGGCATAAAAATTTCAACACTAATTGTTTAATTCAGTACAAAATAGGGTACGGAACGGGCCGGCCCGTTCCGCGCCCTAATACAAAATATACTAAGAAATAGTTTATTATGTTTATTATTACATTCATACACATTCCAATTTAGTGTATAAACGATATACTAGCTTGACGAAACCCTTGTCTCTTCGGATCTGACGCACGACATTAATAAAGCTATTATCGTTATATTTAGATGTTAATCAGCGCAGCGGGCTTGATTTTTGAAGATCATCTTATCGTAACGATTTTCTGTCACAAGATTGAATTCCGAGTCACGAATATGAATTCCTAAGGGGCAAGACAGAAAAAAAATAGAAAGTCCAAATTTTACTTAATAAACTGTCAAAGTAATTCAGTAATCCGCGAAGGTTAGCTGTCTTTTACTTATTTTGTGAAAACTTATTCTTCGTTATCCCAGCTTATATATAAACCTGACTATAATATAGGCTAAGAATATGGAGTTGAGAGTCATAAGGTTTATAGAGTTAAAACGAGGTAGTGGTACAACGATTATTAAATAAAATTAAAGATCAGTTTGATATTGGAGCAAACACTAAAAGTTGTTTGTGATTATTTTTTATTAGCCATTAGTGTTCTAGAATAGGTTCATACATTCTTGTTGTGGGTTTGGTTTTGGTTTCTTTTTTTTTTTTTTTTTAATTTGTAGTATGTTAGAAGCAAAAACATTGTTCTTGACCCACCTGACCCATTTTTCTTGACCCCCTC